CGAGCCTGTTGGGGGGGGGGTGAGGGAGCTGTTTCTACAGGGATCCCTCGCCCGGTGGAGAAATGCAGCCGCCTCTGGAGGCGAGGTGTGGCAGTTTTTTCACGGCCTCACAAGACAGGCGTTCAGCACAGGAAAGGTATTAAAACCCTTCACACCACTGGGGGAATCGTGACAAGAATTTGCCTTGTTCCAATCTGGCCAGGACCCTGGAGCAGACACCTCCCTGCGCTCTTACACAAAATGCCAAGGGATCTACATCACCAAAACCACAGCGTGCGTGCGTGCGTGTGTGTGTGACCCATCCACAAAACAAACAAGGCCAGGCCCAGCTAAGGCGGTGACCCCTCAGACTCCCCCCAAAGCACAGGCCCATGGCTGGACCTGCCTGCCCTATGGGGCAGGGCAGGCTACAGCAAACAGGCGCAGGACCCCTCCTCCCCCACAGCTTGGCCCTGCTCCGAAAAGGTGACGGAGGCACCAACCTAAAGAGCCCTGTCACGCCGGATTAACAGCCGCACATTTCCGGTGCCGCTCGTCTCCGGCCCCCACCCCGGCCCCAGCAGAAGGCAGCCAGCCGTTGAAATGGAATGGTGCCAGGAGCTCTGGGAACCCGGGTGCAGCCCTGAGAATCCTTTTCCCTGGGGGCTCCCCCGTCTGGCTGCACCCACCTGTTGTTCTTTGTCTCCCCAGGGCAGGGCCCAGCCCAACGTGGTTCTGGTCCACGACTGGGCACCTCGGCGCTACCGTAATACACCTAATAATCATAAAAAACAATATGGATCCAAATTTCCAACAATTTGGTCAGCCCAGCTGCACCTTGCACTCGGAGACTCTGGAGGCCGATCAAGATCATCTGGTGCTCAAGGCAAAGTGCTGGGAGTCCTGGGTTCAGTTCCCGGGACTGCCTTCGGCAAGGCCCTTTGCCGTGCCGTGCCTCGGTTTCCTCAGATTGTTAGGCCAAGCACGGCAGGGCCCTGATCTCAAAAGGCAGAGCCCCTTTTAACTGCTCGCTCCCTGTTCAAGTATTGTTGAACTGGAAGGAGGCCCAGAGGAAAGCGAGGAGGGCGGGGGGTGGGGGGAGGAGGGAATGGGTTATGAAGGGAGATTTTTTTTTTAGAATCTAGCAGGGCCACATGATCCCGCAGGAGCGAAATGATCCCCATTCGCAGTAACGACAATTTTAGGAGGGCTGGTCACCATCATGCTGCAGGGCTTAAAGCAATCAGAGGTCAGGAGGGGAGGTCACGGGGGCAGGGGTCTCACACCTTCCTCTGATTCATTTGTCACTGGTTTGCCCTGCGCTTCGCACCCTGAGCCCCTAACGTGGCCTGGGGTTCCTGGGCTCTACTGTGACACCAATCCATCGGGAGCAGTGTCACTACTCCTCTCCAGAGCTGGCTCTGTTCTGGGGGGGAACCTGACCTCCCAAACCAGGGGCCGCTTTTGGACATTTCTGGGCCTGAATCCGCCAGGGAAGAAACGGCGGAAGCCGCCGCGTGTGGACGGGATGGGGGGTGTTTGTTTTATTTTCCTCCTGGCATGGCTGCCCAAGTGGCAGTGAGTCCCACAGGTCAGTTTCAGCCCAGAGGCATTCTGGGGATTGTAGTCCTGGAGGAGGAGGGAAGAGGATGTCTTGGACCCCCTGCCATTCCCCTCCGGGGCTCAGCTCAGTGCAGCTGGTGCTGTGGGTTCTGATCTCAAGAGGGTTCGGCACTGTCCACTGGTGCGGGGACGGGGCAGGGGGGTGGTTCTGGGAGCTGTGAGGATTCCAGAAGCAGGCCCCCCAGGGGAGACAGGGGGGTGTTGTCCCCTGTGTCTCACTCCCCCCCTCTCTCTAGGCCCAGTTCTCATTTATACTCTTCTAGGCTGCTCCCGCAGCCCAAAGGAGTCTGAAAGTGGGGGGAATGCCCCCCCAAGGATCAGCCCCGAGCGCGGGGGGGGCATCTCCAGCTGGCAGCCCTGCCCTCCAGCTGACACTGCTCTGGCTTTTCTCTGCCTCCCAGCAGCGGGGAGGAGACGTTAGAGCAGCCCTGAGGCTGCTCTGGCTTGCACTAGGGGATGGGACCTGGCCCAGGACTGTGGGGAATGCAAAGAGGGAGCCTAAAGTGGGGCAGGGCGGGGGGCTGTTTTAACAGTTCTAGACAGGAAGTGAAGAATACCAGCTCTGAGTGCAACTGCACAGTGGGGTGGAGGTTTGGGGGAGCCCGAGTGACCTCCCCTGCTCTGGAATCGAGCCAGAATTGGGCTCACGCCTCACACACCCCCGACTGCGGAGGATCTTGACAGGGCCAAACTGGGCCAGTGGTTCTGATCCCTGCTGTGTGTCACAGCCCAGGGCGGGATCCACAGGTACTGAAATGAAACAAACATGTTTACCGCCTTGGTGGAGCTGCCGACAGGCGGGTCCCGAGGGCCCTGCGAGCCCCGCGGGGGGAGGGAGGTTTCCATCCCAGGTGCTGGCAAGGTGGGTAGGATCCTGATGTCACATATCGGGCCTGGGGGCAGGGGAGACGGGCTGTGGCCCCTCCCCTGTGACCCCCACATATATAACAACAGATGGGGGGTGCGCTGGCCCCACCCAGCTCAATGCACGTTACAGACATCACTCGGATCAGCTCCACAACTCTCCCCCAGCCCCGGGCGTCGGGGTCATTATCCCCACTCTACAGAGGGGGGAAACTGAGGCACGGAGGCAGGGAAAGGGTTACACGGGGAGTCAGTGGCAGAGCTGGGAATAGAACTCAGGAGTCCTGACTCCCCACTCTCCCCCACCCCACCCCTAGCACTAACCACTAGGCTCCATTCCCCTCTCAGTGGCCAGATGGAGAGCATTTGCCGCATGTTGCCATCTGGCTGTCCTATGCCAACCACACCCCCCCCCACACACACACACACACACTCCCACCTGACCTGGCAGCAAAACCCACCTGGCAAACACCAGCCGCAGAATGGACCCCCACCGCCCCCCCCCCAGTGCCCCATTCGCACCCCCCTGCCCTGCAGCCCCCGTCCTCTGCTCCACAGCCTCTGTGCACCCTAGAAACTTCCCGGGGTGGGGGGGTCATGGCCATGGATGGGGGAGGGTCTCTCAAAGGGGGGGGACACCTGGAAAACGGGATGGAGGGAGCCCCAGGCACCGCAGCGCCACAGGAGGGAATGCATCGGTGGGGCGCCCCCCAAACAGCCCCCCCGCCCCAAGGACGCCCACCAAACGTGGTCCCGGGGCTCAATGTCCCCATCGTAGCCGAGGGGGGGCAGGGAGGGGCTCTATGGGAGGGGGCACCCTGGATCGAGCAGGGCTCCTCCCCCGTCCGTGAGCCAGCAGGGGAGGGGAACCAGACACCCACAAAACCACAGCCCCCCACCCCCCATGCCAGGCGCAGGGTTTCAGCCCCCCTTACCTGGAGCCGGCGCCTGCGGATAATCCCCGAGTCGTCCATCTCCCCCCAGCCAGC